GGAATATTTTACAGCACTACGGGTTAGATACGGACAGAGAAAGGACACGGCGCAGAACTCTCAACTGAAATTTATTTGAAAAAAAAAGGGAGATATATGGGAGACAATGAGTCATCGAAACTGTGCTCATGGGCACGTGCCCTTCTACTGTGCTTATCTAACCCGTTGCGCCGTAAAATGTTTTACGATGAACATCCACCAACTCACCCGATTCGCGATTTTGCTTCAGTACGAAAGTAGCCGGACTGTCAGCGTTGTATACTTCAAAGTTGAGGTTATTGAAATCACTACACTTTTGCCGACTATAAGTCGGTGAACTCACTCATGAGTCAAATCATTCGTACTCACTTGAACTCAGATCGAGCCATGAGTTAGAGTCTGAGTGAGTAATATTTTGGTGGGTTTGAATCCGAGTGAGTCCCGTTCGAAAAAAAAATTGTGTGGGTTTGATTCCGAGAAAGTCCTAAGTGCGAGATATATTTCTTGAGTGAGCTCTACAATTTTCGCCGACCTATGCTGCCGACTCGTGTCCTTCGGATCACATGCTCTGGCTGCGCTCAGCCCCTAGTGCCTCTCCTCCCATCACAAAGAAGCAATGGAATGCATCTTTGAAGAGCAGCAGTCTTCACCCGTAACTACAGGCCGTCTAAAGAGGGCCCATAACGTCGCGACGGAACTTCCAACTACTGGTCAAATCTTAGGCGGAGCGACTAACTTGATCTATGGAAGAGGGGCTTCGGCTTCTCTAAATATCAATAAATGGCGACGTGAACAAGATAAAAACGAGACTTCCCAATGAAGTTAATGATTTCATTTCTAAGCAACAACGGAATATGGCAACGCGAAATTGCAAGTGACTTCGATAAAAGATAGGGTCACCGTATCAGAAACGGCTGATGGCGCCAAGCCGAGTATCGAGAGGGCTCCAATGATTGGAAAACTTCAGCTTATAGAAAAGTTCATGAGATGGGTGCATCTTCTGAGGACCGCATTTCTGTGTGCTTTCCGGTCCCGGGATTCTTTGTACGACGCCTGGGTTACAGAAGCTTCGACAAAAAGTAAATGAGAGATTCTAATGAAGAAGAGCGCAAAGAATTCTGGATCAGTATGGCTGCAGGGAAAGGTCATACGAACAAACGTCGCACCCAATGTAATACCGTATAAGCAAGTCGTAAAAATATTGCGAATAAAAATAAAAGTTCGACGCCAGCCATCGGGTCTTCTTCAAAGCAGCTACGTTCCCACGATTCCTACAATCCTACGTTTCTACAAGCAGCTACGTTCCTACAAATTCAGCGCCGCCAACCACGGCAGCAGAATGACGTCACCGACACCACTTGTAAAGCCTACCCTTCCAGACAACGTCATGCATACTGACAGCTTCCACCCCATCCCCCCTTTTGCCACGATTCGCACAAAGAAAGGATACTAGAAAAGACTAAAACACATTCTACTTGTCACGGTCCAAACTCGAAGTTATCTCCTGGTTCCCTCCGCCTATTTCCGGTGTCAACTTCAGACCCCTTTTTGCCCACTCGCCGCGTCTTCCGAGTGGGACATCCCGTACGCGGTACACCGACAGGCATCTCGTGTCTCTTCACATATCTCTCGGCCAGACCCTGCCCCAGGAACACAGCCCCAATCTCTCACGACACGGGCCGCTAAGCTCCGACGGAACACATACAGTCTCAACTCGAGAGATTGATAAGGCAGATAAGGATTCTCCCTCCCTCTCTATCGACCACCTACGCGTGTATAGAACACTCAGTTGTACATAAAGGCGTGGGTCAACGAGCATCGCGTATACATCTTCGCCTCCCACCAGGGTTATCATTTCGTACTTTAACGTGTGCTTCGTTTCGCACATCCCTGCGCCCGAGCACGCTCTCGTGCATACGAGATTCCCTTCGCCCGCAATAAGTATTTTTTCTTTCTTTCTTCCTTTCTTTCTTTCTTCCTTTCTTTCTTTCTTTCTTTCCATCGCGTTCGTGCCAACGCTGTCGATGCCCGCGAATTAAACATGCGCCTAGCGTGTGCTGCAGCCTCCCCTCCCCTCCTCACGTACCGAACGCATAGCGACTGTACTGAACATAGAAGTGTGGCAGCTTGGGCTAGTTGGTATGGCATGACGATAGTTATAGCGTTTTGTTCTCGCGCTATAACTATCGTCATGTACTGAACAGTCTCGGCACGAGCACAGTAAGTGGTCCGGCTGAAATGGTGGCACTTGTTCTTTCCTTATCGTCTTCCTTATCATCTTATTGATACCGGGCGAATATATCGCGCGGGAGCGACACCCGAAAAAAGGGGGAGCAGCGCGAGACGCCGAGGAGAGAAAAGACACCCGCGAAAAAGGGGTTCGGCCTCGTCCTGTGAAGGCAGGCAGGCGTAACGGTGTCCAGCAGACTCCGTGATGGACTGAGGTGGTTTGCTTTGCGGAGAGAAAGAAAGAGAAGGCAGAGGGTAGATCAAAGCCTGCCGGCCGTTGATCTTTGCTGGTTGTCTTGGTTGAACGGTTAGCGCACTGCACACAGCTAGGCGAACAAAAGCGGGGTTTCACCCCATCGTGTCGTTTAACAAAGAACCGCAGTTTTTTTTTTTTTTTACCTGCTACCCACTGCGGAGTCACCCGTCACGCTGGTTTGAATTAGACCGAAAGTTTAGTTGCATACACTACGTCCTCGCATCACACCATCATGAATAATCTGCGGATCACATAAATTAATAAATGCGCGAGTTTTCAGGGTGATAATTTCTGCCGGTGTTTTACGTCCCCAAACCACAGTGATAATCAGAAATGTCGTATTTGTAGGACTCCGGAAATTTCGACCACCTGGGGTTACTTAACGCGCACCTGGATCTAAGCACGAGGACCCCTAGCAGTTTGCGACCAGGCAAATGCGGTCGCTGCGGCCGGTATGCGAACCCACGACCTTATAAGGTCAGCAGTCAAGAGCCTTGACCACGAGGCCACCGGGGTGATTCTTTTTTTGAAGTGTACCCAAGAACAGTGCTTTTGCAACGGTGCACATTTGTTACACAAAAATTAAAAAAAAAAACATTTTAAGTAACTTTACGAAAAAGAAAAAAAAAACATCGTCACGGCTTTCCAGACCTATATCACGGCCTCCCGCTATGCGAAAAAGGAAACATGCATTAAATAACAATTTGCTCGTCAACGCCAGCATGATAAACGTCTAGCCACGAGGCATACCCTTCGTCCATAAAAAGAAAACAAAAATAATTTAATAAATTGCGCGCGTCTCACGCCTGTCGCGCGCCCTCTTCCGGCCGTTCAATTCAGCGCGTGGCCGATCTGAACGCGCGTTGCGTCACTCCACCGACGCTGAGCGTATATAGCTACGCGGTCGACGTCAGTGACCGCGGGTGTACCTCGAGATAAAAAGAAAAACACCGCCAACCGACCAAAGCCCCGCGTCGTCCTTCTACGCACCGACCCCCGTATTTCCATCCGCCCACGGTGCTTCTCCGACCCAATCGTGACCGGTTTGAGCGAAAAGGTCCGCTATTTTCCTTATGCCTGGACGCTGACATTCAGTCTACCGAGTGTACGGCACCCCCTCTACCCCCCTTCAAACCCGCCAAAGGAGGGTGGAGTAGGGAGGTACTCTTGGCTATAGGCCTGGCAACCTAGGCCTATGATCATGGACCTATAGGCCCATGGCTGTCGCCGCGGGGCGTTATACGTTAACAACATACAAGCACGAGCGTTCGCGTGATGTTCGAGTTTCTTGCATGTGTGTATATAGGCTGAATTAGGAAGGCGCGCCCCATCGCAAGAAGACGCTTCTTTATTTTTATTTCTTGTCTCGTTTTGCATCCGGTGGACAGGTACGCCGCTAGGACCTTCGTGACTGACTTGTTTTGTTTGTTTTTAGTGGTATTACTTTTTGGAACGTAAACAAAGCCGTAAACGAAGAGAGACGCTCCCGCTCGAAGCATCCAGGTCAAACCCTTGTTGTTCACGCGCAGGATCGCGAAAAGCCCTTTCTGGACTGGAAGGCAGCGGACCAACGAAGTTGGGGCGAAACGGCACGAGAAACACGCATAGCACGCGTGCACTGAGCGGCACAAGCATTGACCTCGACCAAACGAGCGCATAAAGAAACGTAATAAAAGTCTACACGCGTCTTGGCTTTACAGGCACTAAGCTTCTGGAGGGCCTGGGTTGTGAAATGTAGTGGTTCGTGCGCGAACACGGCCGAATAATAGGGTGGTGCATAAAGGTAGTCGGTGTGCAGGCAAAGAATGAGTGATGTAACTGGATGTATGAAGACTAGACGTGCGTATAAAGATTGCTATTGTTCTTTTTTTTATGCACGCAAAGACGCCCTTGGTGAACCTGAAAGAGGTCTGGGTGTGTGTAGGAGTGCGAGGGGTCACCAGTGTTCCGACGCTGTGTCTCCCGCAGAGGAGCTTCTGTAATACGTAGGAATTTACGTACAGTACCAAAAAGGTTAAAAATATACCAAAAAAAGTAAAACCAGCAAAAGAATAAAGTGGTAGTTCTGCGGACAATGATCAGAGGTGAACTTCAGAGGTCCATCATTGGTGTTGAACTATTTGCCATTGGACGACAGCCTTTTGTATCACCGCTGTATTCTGTAACACCGCGATTGTCCGACTCTCGCTTCCGCGATGTAAGTTCTTGCGTATGATCGTTTTAGCGAATATGAGCCTGGAAGAGCGAGTAGCTAGTCCATTTCGGTCAAGGACGTTGACAAAGTCGAAGGCAGAATCGAAGTCACCAGGCCGCTGTCTACAGGGGCCAGTCCTGACGCTGAACATATCAAGAGTGAAAGCAATCATCCAATGGCAACAAATTTCTTTAGAAAGAAAAGAGAAAGTTCTCATGGGTTCGAGGCCCCCACGTTTCACGAAGACGAGTAGAACTAAGATTACGTAATACCGCGAAAGCCGCCACGCCGCGTGACGTAGAAGTCACGTGATAGCTAAGCCAAAAAAAAAAGCCAACTCACGTTGATGCTGTCGTTGACGTGCTTCTCGTCCCGGTCCAGCAGGTTGAGCCCGATGGTAAGCGTCTCAACGCAAGATGGCGACCGCTTGTGCGACGACGCCTTCTTCTCCTTCTTCTCTTTCTTGTCCTTCTTCTTGTCTTTGCCCTTCTTGTCCTTCTTGCCGGCCTCGGCGTCAGACTCGCCGCCGGCCTCCTTGCCGCCAGCGTCCGAGCCGGGCTCGGCCGTGGCGGCGTTCGAGTCCTCGCCCTTAGAGCCTGAGTCTCCGCCCTTGAGCTCGAGCTCGATCTTCTCCTTGGCCTCGTCGGCTGCCTTGATGTCGCCGCCGCCCACGTCCTCGAGTAGAGGCAGCGTCGACTCGTTCAGGTTGGCCCGAGAGCCCGACCGGGAGCTCTTGTCTTTCGACTCCATTGATTTACGTGTCGGAGTTTTGTGGCTGTCGATTACACTGAGGAAGGCGCTAGAGTTCAACGAACTATTTCGGTGATCTCCGGCTTGTGTTCGTTTCTTGTGGCAGTTTCACCTGCACAGACAAAGAGAGTGGTTCAGGTAAGCAGACGGTACGCATAAAAAAAAAACATAATTCACATAAGAGGCATAAAGAATAAATGGTCTAATATATATATATAAAAGCAAAACGTAGTCGTTGTAATGGTAGAGTACTAGCACGCTGTTAAACATACTTCGAGGCACGCCACCAAATTTTTTTTTGTTTTTTAACGGCCTGCGCCGTTGACCAACATCTAGTCATTTCATATTTTCAACAGCTTAGCGCAGAAAACATATATCTGTGTTATAAATAGGCATCTTCAGGTTCAGGTCCAGCTACTAATAAGTGTTGGTAAAGACAAGTAGCTTTGAAGAGCCTCTATATGTGTTTTTGTTAGTGTGCACATTTTAAAAAGTCGTTCACTTATGCAGGATCCCCAGAGACATGCGAGAGAAAAAAAATACTTTACGAATCATTGCTTAACACATATCTTCTAAGTTGGTTGGGCTCATTCTTCCTTGGTTAGGTGGTCCGTGCAAATATACCACAGTGCCCCATGTATCATTCTGCTACGAGTTGCTGTTGACATAACAACGCGCGCTGTGTCTCTTGCGGTGCCCGCCATAAGAAGAAGGGGAGCGGCGGTGGCAGCAAAAGGAAGAGCGGCGGCCTTCTTGCGACTTCGTGCTCATCGGGCGTACATCCGGCGCCTCCTCAAAAGGGCGACCAGGCCGGGTTGCGCGACGTGCTTGGGTATATGCCGCGTTTGCGCGATCACATACTGCCCCGTTGCGTGTTCCTTTAGCGGTTTATCAACATCCGAGACTTTTTTTTTCTCCGTCGAAGTTATACTTTGTTTTTTTGTCGTCACAGAATAAAGCCGGTGCTTACAAGGACTCAGTATCATCCCAAATGCACAGCATAATGATCAAGTTCGATGATCAGTACTACAGCAAAAATCATGAGTCCATATAGTTAAAGTATAGGGTACACTTCTCTTGCCGTTCCCCGCCGCGGTGGTCTAGTGGCTAAGGTACTCGGCTGCTCACCCGCAGGTCGCGGGATCGAATCCCGGCTGCGGCGGCTGCATTTCCGATGATGGCAGAAATGCTGTAGGCCCATGTGCTCAGATTTGGGTGCACGTTAAAGAACCCCAGGTGGTCGAAATTTCCGGAGCCCTCCACTACGGCGTCTCTCATAACCATATGGTGGTTTTGAGACGTTAAGCCCCACATATCAATATTCTTTTGCCGTTATTATTGCTCTTGTTTCTTATGACTCATTTGTTAACGCGGAGCCGTTGCAGATTCCTACAAAGGGGTTGCCATATATAGGGGGTATTTCAAGATGTCGTTTTTCCTGGAGGGCACACAGCAGCTAGGAGGAGAGAATGCAACGGATGTCCACAGCCCTCCTACGACCCACTCAACTTCTCAACACGTGTTTACAGACCACTACATTTTATGGGATGATCAGGCTATAATCAGGCTATGATCAGGCTATGATCAGGCTATCAGGCCCGCTACGTATGCAAGGCTAAACCCGCCTGCTGCAACATCACAGCCACCAGCATCGCCACCACCACTCATTTACTACACCTTCCTTAAGTTAAAAAGGCCAGCAAAACAACGCTGAGGTCCAAAAATTATTATAAAAATAAATACGTACACTTCTGCTTTGTGAACATGCAGACGCAGAAATTTTGCGAATACGTGCTATATTAAGAAAGTTACATGGCTAAGAACATCAATTCCAGCTGGTTTCAAATTTTTGTGCGGCCTCTCCATTCTTCTCCCACACAGGAAGGGGAAAGCGTATAGCCCGTCACCATGACTGGTTTAGACCAATCAAAGAGCTGCGTGCTACGTCAAGTCAGCGATCGGCGACTTTGCGTAACTGCGCGTGAAAGGGAGAGAGAGAGAGAGAGAGAGAGAGAGAGAGAGAGAGAGAGAGAGAGAGAGAGAGAAACGAGAAATAAGGAAGGCAGGGAGGTTAACCAGATGCTAGTATCCGGTATGCTACCCTACACTGGGGTTGGGGAATAGGGGGTTGAAAGAGAAAGGGGTGAACGGGGGATTTGTCAAGTGTAGGAAAGGAGGTGCTGCGCGGTACCGTGCAAGCGCTGTAACATTCGGAAAAAACGTGATCGCCACGATCTACTCTACGAATTGCCGAGCTTCCTTGGGGGTTGTGAAAAAAAAATGCAGTTGGAGCTACGGTTGGCTGGTCCTGTTTATAAGCTCACCGAGACGTTTAGCGGTGTGATAAACAAAAAAATAGAGTCTGACCACCTCGTTCATGAACGAGCGGGGCGCTTGAGATGAGTAGATAGGGTAAAGAGCGCTGCATGTCACATTGTCTGGCTGTATACACCCCGATAGTAAATATACACCCCGCACGTACCAAGCTACAGCCTGCCCACGTACTCTTAACGCGGCGGCGCTCTTCCCATTAGCGTCGAGGAAAAGCCGCGCGCTTTCGTCGGGAACACGCCGCGGCAAACACACGCCCTCCGCTGATTGGCCGGTCGCATTAATAGAGGCGCGAGCAATTAGGATTAATGGGCACGCTTTCATGCGGCGACGCGTCGGCCGCGTCACCAGCTGGCCCGTCTGGCGATGGTCGCGTGCTGCGACGACAGTGGTCTATACAGACTCCCTCTATAGGGTAAACCAGATTCGAGCGCGAACCGCGCGCAATTACGAATGGATGGCAAATACCGTACGTCACAAGAGGGGAGCGCCCCCTCTCTGGTTATCAAGGAGAGGCGACGCTGAGATCACCGTTGCAAGCAGTCGAGCACACAGATGCAAATGGTGACAAAAAATGACTACGTAAAAGCTCATTGTGAGTGCTCACTTTTTCTTTTCTGTATACACGTGGGAATGACCCGTAATGACTGCTACGTGAGCCAACAGAAAAATGAAACTACATCCTTTTTTTTTTGTTTCTTTCTTGCAGAACTGCGAGTTACTGCAAAAGCGTACACCCACTTACTGGACATTAGCGAGGTTATAGAACTGCGACGGTGAGACAATTGCTGAAATAGAGATCATATTTTTACGGAAGAGTTGAAGCGTCACCATTTAGGGCTGCCCGCCCCTCCCCCTTACCTCTTTTTTTTTGTTAACGAAGTAATACTACCAGAGGCTCATACTCATAGGAATGGCGGTATGGATGAATCACCTGGACGTATCATCACCACGTTGATTTGATGTCACGACACTTACGAAAGAAAAAAAAAGAGGAATCGCTCGTGCACAGAAGCACAAGATGGCCACGGCCACATATTGAAAAGGGAATATAATTTTCCATTATTCTTGTAGTCAAGGTGCGAGCTTGAAATGAGGGCGCAGAGACACCAGCGAGGAACAGCGAGTCATATATAGTTCACCAGTAAAAAGCAGGCTTGTACCCAGGATTCCTCTTTTTCGGGGTGGGGAGGGAAGGTGGCTTCTTTGGATTGGAAGCGGGGTTGGGCAGACAGATGTATACTCCAGTGTCATTTTGTGCTCTGTGTGTCATAGCTAAAATTTACCGTTGGGGGGGAGGGTGGGGGGTAAAGACTCATGCGTGCCACACACTGGCTACACCGAGTTACACCACTGTTGGTGACGCCATGCTCAGCTGTCATCTACCGTGTCATGCTGGGCATGGCACGCATCTACCGTGCCATGCTCAGCATGACACGGTAGATGCGTGCGTGTGAAAACGGTTGGGTCGGTGCTTTCGACGTTTAATGACCTCGTTACCTTCCTTTTCTCGGCGTGCAGAATTAAGAAGACATTCGTGTAACAGTCCAGGACGGTAGTGCCCATTTACCCAATGCAAAAGCATCTACAGGGTGGCGACACGTCGTGCACGTACCAGGTCCTTGAAAGAAGGAAGCCATAAACTCTGTCACTCGTACACAGACGCTTCACGGCGCAGTATATAGTGCGGCGTTTATGCATAACGCATTCCAACGCGTGCTGCCAAATTGGCGCCAAGGCCGGCCGCGCCACTGCGGGATGTTAGAAATGAAAGGGGGAAGAAAGCAAGGGTGCTAGCGTTAGAGCTCACGCCGAAGAGAGACAATGAGTGTCGACAGACACACCACTACAGCTTGTAAACGCAAAAAAAAATAAAAAAAAACGCGCACTCAGCAATTTAGGCATGCATGCCAGGACCAATTAAAAGATCCGGAGGGCCGAATGCACGATGCTGTTTTGTTAGCGAATACTATTTTTGCGGATTCACGACATCAAGATTTGCTGACATGTTCTATCAGGAAACGATACTACAGCGTAAGAAAAATTTTGTGACTGCATGCCTCGGGACTGAATTCTTAATGTTTCGTGTTTGTTAAGTGCATTTTCGACATTGGGCAGCCATGGCTTCGTAAGGAGGATATTTTAGCGAATACTATTTTTGCAGATTCACAACATCAAGATTTGCTGACATGTTCTATCGGGAAACGATACTACAGCGTACGAAAATTTTGTGACTGTATGCCTCGGGACTGAACTCCTAATGTTTCGTGTTTGTAAGTGCATTTTCGACGTTGGGCAGCCATGGCTTCGTAAGGAGGATATTTTACGATAGCTTAAAATTAGACGAGATGATGCATAGCTTTTCTGAACCTTAGAGCTCAAAATGAGAAATTCGTAAGAATGAGAGACACATAACGAGCGTCTCACTCTCTTACTTCATTCACTCACTTCATTCACTCACTTTCTGGGAATATCAGAGCGCGAAACCAAACCTTCACGAAAACGAGACACACAGGGTGAGTGAGACCCGCCGAGGTGGTCTAGTGGCTAAGGTACTCGGCTGCTGACCCGCAGGTTGCGGGTTCGAATCCTGGCTGCGGCGGCTGCATTTCCGATGGAGGCGGAAATTCTGTAGGCCCGTGTGCTCAGATTTGGGCACACGTTGAAGAACCCCAGGGGGTCGAAATTCCCGGAGCCCTCCACTAAGGCATCTCTCATAACCATATGGTGGTTTTGGGACGTTATACTCCACATATCAATCAATCACAGGGTGAGTGAGTG